GCTGGATGATGTGCTCGGGGGTTGCATGCTCGCCTCGCGGGTGCGCTCTTTCTCGACGGCGCGCTGGCGGATGAGGTCCGTGGAGGGGTTGCGCTTGAAGTCGGGCGCGGGGAGCTCCTCGATGGACCTGGGGTGGTTATTGTGGTTAATAAAAGGATAGAAAGAATGAAAAAAAGGGGGAGAGACAAAGACGTGCGCGACGCAAAGTACAAAGAAAGGTCAAAGTAAAAGAAAAGAAAAGTCCAGTAGGTGTAGAGACGAAGAGAAGGGGGTAGAGGACAACGACATGACGCGACGCGAAGTCCCAAGTACAAAGTCACAGTCAAAGCGAAAAAAAATATAGGGGTAACCTACCGGCCCTTTTCCTTGTCGAGTTTATCGCCCATGCATTTCGAGAGCTTCTTGAATTCACGCTTGGATTTGGCGTTGTCGGTGTCGACCATCAAGTTCTGGAGGTGCCATAGCCTGCGCGCGCCCGAGTCATTCACTGACACGCAGCACACTGGAACAAAGACATACCGCCACGACAAGTTCTCCAGACGCTGTCCTTGCTCGAGGTAGCTCGCGACCTTGGTGCAGACCTGCCCGACGTTAGCTCTGACACGAAAAAAGTCGGTGAAAAATCGGAGAAACGCCAGCAGCGCTGGACACAAAGGAAAAGCACAACGAATAGAAAGAAAGAGATGCACCTTCCAGGTCTTGGTCAACGACTCGGTGTCATTGAGGTTGCTGAACGCAACAAAGGACTTGTTACCCTTCAGGCGCGAACAAAGGCGGCGCGCAAAGAAGAAAAGGGCAGAAAAAAGTCAGGATAGCTCGGGTGCGCAGGGCGCAGGACGGACTTTGAACTTGAGGTTGAGGATAGAGGGCATTCAGAGATGGATAGACTGTACTAGCGCGGGCTAGCGCAGGGGGCAGAAAACGGAGACAAGAAGAACAGAAAACAGATCAGACGATGACTTATACGAACTACACCCGACCCCCAATTAAGGAAACTAATGCACGTTGCACCCAATACAGCTGCTATTCCCCCTTCTTTCTCTTGTACCTGCCCTTGCTGTCTCTCAAATATTCTGCCTAGTCGATAGCTAGTATATGTCTTTGTCGCGGCGCAGTAGGCGCAAATGAGCGGGCGCACACCGACGCACGAGGCGGCTGGGTACAGCATCGGGATCAGCCTCATGGCATGGCACATTGGCGTCGATCCCCAGCGAAATGAAGTGTATGCCCTTAACCCAGCTTGCCGAAGCAGCCCCTGCTTAGCGAGGCCTCGAGGCACGACGCGTGATGGCTCGGGTCCTCGCACCGGCCTCGAGGTACCGGTTCATCTCCTTCCTAAAAACACATCAGATTCTCTTCGTCTGCAATTAATCTCCAGCGAGCGCTTTCTCCTTCCGCTGCGGGGTAATACTGAACTCTGCAGCACAACGGCGGATTTCTCACACAAACCCAATCACAGCCGCCGTGCGCCGTGCTTATCCTCGGACCTCAGTGGCGTCTAGCTCGCACGGCTCTTGCCAGTGAGCGTCAATTGAACGCGATCACGATCGAACGCGCTAATTAGCATGGCGCGTAGATAGTCTACGCGACGTATCTAACCTTGGTCGCTACTTATCTACGCGCCAATTATGATCCCCCGGGAGATAACGCGCTTGTGAAGCCTAACCGACGTTCCCCAAGAATACTTAACTACTTGGTAGAATATATTATACACAACTCTGATACTCACCTCCCTCCGCGGATCCCAACATACAACGATCAGACGTTCCCGACGTCGCCAGATGCAAGAAGTTACTTTGAACGCCGACACAGCCATCGCGTACCAGAGAACCCACAACCCCAATAACTATAGAACCGCCGCCGCCGGCAGTATCCTGCCTACCACGTCGCGTCGCGTATTTAGCGCGGGGACGGCGGAATTGAGTATTGGGGTCTAGGACCTTCGAATGCAGGTGCATGTTCTCGCTAGACTTCGAATTGAGATTCTCCTCCTCATGCCGAGGGAAGACGACATATAACACGAGTCGAGCCCTAGCGATGAATTCATTACCTCCTCCAATACCCAGGGGTGCCACAGGAGAAGACTGTACGACACCGGTACCAGGTACAGCGCCGGCGTACTGCCAGCCTGAGTGTAACGGAATCGTCCAAACTTCACAATGCTGGCCTGTAGCTGGGTACTGGGCAGGGAACGACAAGCAGAACTTTCCCGTGTCGTGTCGTGTAATTCTACTTACCAAGAACGAGAGAACACCGTGTTAGAGACAGCTAACGGAATACCCCACTTCCCACTTCCGACCCCACTAACACGACACTGTCCGTGTGAGCCTGAGAGCCGCCGGAACCCTCCGCGTTAGGTCTAATCACCTCTCACCCGCACCCCACCTCCCACTTCGCGCGTGCCATTGGCATTGGCATTGGTGATTCCCGACGTCGGTCTGACTCTGAATCTATTTTATTTAATGAGATTTCTATATGCTGCGTATTTATTTAATGCCCGGCCTGAATTGATTTATTCAATGAGATTTGATGCCACTGTCAGCGCTAGCGCTGATGCTGCGTTGTGGGTGCATGCAAATATGCTGTCGGCCAGGTGTTGGGATGGCGGTGGCGCGGCGTGCCTTTTGTGCTGTTAATATTAATGGTACCGGGGCAGATAGCAGATAGGGGTTTGGTTGTCTTCATCCTAGCTTGTCTCGGATAGAAATTAAACTCCAATCCGGCCTACGTGGGAAAATTAAACTGAATCGAATTCTCCTCAACGGGGCTTGTTGCTGAAAATCCAACCTAGTGAGCAACCGCACAGTGTGAGTGCACCCGGCCAGTTAAACTGTCCAACCTCTAAAAGGATAAGGCAGGCAGGATAAAAGGTTTAGTTTCGTTTCGTTTCGTTTCGTTTACCTTCTTGCTCCATCAAGCCTTATATTACTCAAGCCTCAACACTAGCTCGCCGGCCCGTTCTGCCCGCAGTTGAACTTGTGCTCACAAGTTCGTGATGGATCTGCGTCTTGGTTCTGCGACGGCGACGAACGACGGTGCCGGGGTTCCGACTCCCGAAAGGTTCCGTCCAGCGCCTGTAATAAGAACTTGACTCGAAAAAAAAAGTTGAAACGAGTTGGAGAAACACTCCCGAATATTCAACTTCAAGTCTCATCCACTCCACCCACTCGGACGTTCCACTCCCACAAATCCAACCAATTCCGAATTCCACAAATTCCAAATTCCGGTACGAACCCGCCGGACCATCCGCGTGGTGAGGATCACATTTATGATTCCTTGATCTCATTTGTCTCATGCGGAATTCGCGCGCCTATTCGGATTCGGATTCCCTCCTAATGGGCTTGATTCGGAGGTCAGCTCCCCAACCCAACGAAAAAGAACAATCGACCATTTGCAAAAACAAACGGGAAAACGGCCTTCCGCCCTCTTCCGCCCCAAAGAAAATGAAACCAGCCGGAGATGCGTACGAAGGACCTCAATGAAATAAAATGAATTACCCTCGGAGTCCCTTCTTCAGTTCTTACACACAATTTAATTCGCCGACACCACCCGAGAACCCCATACACAAAAAATTACCCACCAATGGCGTGCTCCTCGCAAATCCTCCCACCCAGAGAATTTCACGTTCCTGATCCTCCGGTCCGCTCGCTCCGCAATGATTTTCGTCGTCCCAAAACGGAAGTCGGCGGTGAAAATTGTTCCCATCACTTTTCTTTGATCTTTCCCATCCTCCCGAGACGCACATCCCCCTTCCTCCCCTTCATCCTAAATTCCCCAAATTATTACTGGGGGTACCATAGACCTTGAATAAAAATTGTAAAAAGTTATCTGGCGTCTTCGGGGCTTCCTGAGCGCTTTATCCTTGAAGTTGGGGCATTAAAGCAGGAGTAAAAAGAATGGACAAACTGGGAATTGAACCCAGCACCTCCCGCAGCCCCATTACGTAATCAATTGGGGCATTAAAGCAGGAGTAAAAAGAATGGACAAACTGGGAATTGAACCCAGCACCTCCCGCAACCCCATTACGTAATCAATAGCGGTGTAAGCAATTGTGGAGTGGCAAAAAGAATGGACACTGTAGGATTTGAACCAACGACCTTTCGCATGCGAAGCGAACGCGCTACCAACTGCGCCAAGAGCCCGTGCGTATTGTTGGGATATTTGGACCCTCTACAATTGCTGACATCTTAATTACTGTCGACACATTTGCGACCTCGGCTCCGACTTCTTGCCAGCGGCTCTTGTCCTCTAACACGATGCCCCACTGTTCAGGCGTTAAAACATCATTTTCATTATTCGTATGACAAGTGCGTCATCGTAAAGTAAAAGGGATGAGCGGGATGAATCGCCGAGGGACATAATCGTAAGTGCGTCATCGTAAAGTAAAAGGGATGAGCGGGATGAATCGCCGAGGGACATAATCGTAAAGTAAGCTAATCGTAAAGTAAGCGGTATCGCAAGAGAAGAGGTATCACAAGGAAAGACAGCGTGTGCCAAGGATGTGGATAGCACGAGGGAAAAGAGCGAGGTAATGTAAAAAAGGGTTCGGCGTGAGGTATCGCAGAAGGATGATGTAACGGATAGCGTGAGGGAGGGAAGAGAGGGGGTCGGGGGAAAATGATCGGCCCAAAGTATCGCAGAGTGGGTTAAGATGAGATAGTGGGGCCAAAAGAGCCATCTGCCTGCCGTATGCTATATTTTGCTGGCTTACACTTGGAACCAGCGCTGCGAATCCGGCTGACGTGTTTGTTAATGCTTTCAAATTCCTTTCCACAGCCGTGGCACTTGTAGTCGAACTAAAGATGGGGTCAGAGAGAGTGAGCGGGGGTGGGGTGAGTCAAATGCTCACTTGAAGGTGAGCTTTCTTGCTCGGACCCTAGGATGGAGGTCAGTCGGACGAATAGAGAAAACAAGATTTGAATTACCGCTTCGTTGTCGGCCGCGGCGGGGGGTGACTATGATAGGATCAATGAAAAAGCGCGGCCCGAGCAACGAAAACTTACAGCGTATGCACCTGCCTCCGGCGACGCACACCAGTCCTTGAAATTCTTCCAAGGCCCGAATTGCCCACGCGGAACACTGGGGTCCCTGATCTTGAAGCGGGTCTGGTCGCAAAATTCCGGAATGTGGTCCCGGATGTCGGCAAATTGCTTCCGGTGGAATTCACATCGGTGCACGAGATTCACCTTCAGATCCTGCAATGTACTGTGAAATAGGAAAACAGGGATAGATACCACAACTCACCCCCAACGCACGGTGTTTGCGTTTCGGTCTGACGATAGGGACATCCTCTTCATCGTCGTCCGAATTGACGATAGCGGACTAGGGGACAATGAGATCAGGAAGGGAAAGTGAATATCAAGCTCACGCTGCGCTTCATCAGTTTGCGTTTCGGTCTGACGATAGGGACATCCTCTTCATCGTCGTCCGAATTGACGAGCGCGGACTAGGAGACGATGAGATGAGGAAGGGAAGCGCATATCGAGCTCACGTTGCGCTTCCGCTTTGGCCGGTAACCATCCTCCGCGTCTTCGTCGGAATTGTCCTGGGCAATAACAGGTGAGAGACTGAGCAGGGCGTACGAAACAACTCACGGTGGTGCGCTTCCGCTTCCCCTTCGCCTTCGCACTTGGCGCCGGACCTTCGCCGTCATCATCCGATTCTCCGTCCGAGTCATCATCCGAGTCGTCCTGGGGCACAGTGGATGAGAAGAAAAGAAGCCAAACACAGGAAGCAAGCTTACGATGCGCCTCTGCTTTCCCTTCGCCTTCGCGGACGGCTTGGATTGAACTACCTCGCCGTCGTCAGACTGGTCGAACAGATGAGCCAAATCGAGCGCCGGGCCCGGCCCCTCTTCTACCTCCACTTTCGGAAGGCGTAGGCGACGATGTAGCCTATGGTTGGTGGAGCCGCAGATCGGGACCCGGTGAAAGACTACGAGGTGTCGGAGGAACTCGTGCGCGGTGTCAAACTCGTGCAAACCGCACGAGGGGACGGGGCATTGGCGCGGGGCGTTGGCGTTTACGATCTCTTGGCGGTGGCGGCTGAGGTGGAGCTGGAAATCCTGAACGCGCTCAAATCTAAAAGGGTCTGAGATCCACGAGAGGAGAGCGGCGAACGAACACTTACTGCCGCATACGCTCTTCGATGGGCTTGTCCTCGTCGTATACACACAAAGGACAATGCTCGGTCGCCAAGGGGACTTGCTGCTCTCTGTGCCCATGGAATTCGGGTCGCAGGCCGCCAAAGCCCTCGCCGTTGGGGTATTCGATGCAGTCGTCCACCTCGGGTGTGAATAGAACGCCGTGCGCGTCGAAATCGACGCTCGTCTCGATCCGAGTTTCGAACGGTGCGAAGAGGACGTCGTAATGTTCTTCACAGTGCTGACGCCAGAGGGAGCCATCGCCGTCGTAGTCGATGAACCTGTAGCGGCCGTGAGGAAGGCGGTTACCGGAAGCTATGCAAAACGTACGATTCGGCGCACATGGCGCAATACTTGATGTCGACTTCTTCCTCGGCGCCGAGTCCGTGCGCGGTGGCGAAATGGAGGCGGACATCGTCAAGGTGCGTTTCCCCGCAAATCTCCCCAGCCTCATCCTTGAATTTGCATGATGGAGCCGTCTTGCGAGGTTCCAGCGCGTTGACAGAGCAGTGCAAAGAATGGGCGTGGGTTTCGATATGAGCAATGAACTCGGAGCGCGTGTCCCACACTCGCTCAGTGCCCTGCCTGCACTTAGCCCAATCGCACTTCCGCGGCTCAAAGTCCTTCTCGACAGCCGCTTGAACGTCCGACTGTAGCTTGTCCATAAGGCACGCGTGAATGTGCGACGCGATGCTCTTGCCGCCGCGATTCATGATGGCCGCGCTAGGGAGAATTGTCAGCGTCAATGAGGGAGGACGACTTAAACGACTTACGAGCACACTTTGGCGCAAACAGGGCATCTGCCGTCTTCGGTAGGAGCCTCTCCGGGATAGCAGAGCTTGGACGGGCGGTCTGGGAGAGACAGTAGGGCGTTGACGGAGTTGACAAAGTGAACGACGCCGGCGTCTTCGTTGTCGTCAGCTTCCAGGGTGAAATTGTAAATAACATCGAGAACGTCGTCCATGGGATCACGAGCCTTCGGCCTAGATACCCGAGCTGGGCGCGCTGGGACGTTGGGGTTCACATTCTCCTTGTCGGAGACGGCGGTGGAGGTGCTGGCGGCACGCTGGGCGGGGGCGGGGGCGTTGTGGTGGTGAGCTGCGGCGAGGGGAACGCGCTCAACGGGTTTCTGCGTTCGTAGTGAGAAAGAAAAGGAGGAAAGAGAGGAATTATCCAACGTACAATGCCCTTGAGTTGACGCATGGATGCCTCGTCAATAAACGCCTGCCGCTTCTCCCTCAGCCTCGCGTACTTTTCTCGACAGACGATGACATTATGGTCATGGGCAAGGGCGCGCGCGTCGGTAACGAGGGCACGAATGACCGCTTCTTGAGCAGCAATCTCTTCCGAGGCCTCGTCGAGGGTCTTCAGCGTCGTCTTTTCCTCCTTGATGCGAGCGAGGATCTACAGGAAAAGGAGTCGCACGGGCGGCCAAGATGAGAATGAAAATGGCTACCTTCTGCCTTTGCTCGCGCAGCTCGACAAGGTCGGGCTCGGCGAGGAGCTCATTCATGTCCTTGAGGTCGAGCGAAGTGGGCGCGTTGGGGTCGCGTCCCTTGGACATCCCGCAGACTGCCTGAGAGCGCTCAAGTTCCGGAGAGATAAAAAGGGGGCGGGAGAAAGACGCGTACCTTCATGAGCCGCACATTGTCGTCGCTCGAGTCCAGTCGCTCGGCGAGTATTGCTCCGAGGTCGATAGGCGCGAGACGGGCCTGATAACTCTCCTGGAAACGCAAGTTGGAGGATTTGAAAAACAAAGGGAAAAAAAGCACCCACAAAAAATACGTGAGAGTTGGGGTTTTGGCCCATCATCCTCTTTCGCTCGTCGTCGGGCAGCCGAGCGTTCATGTTATTTGCGGAGCACCGGCGGAAGGCGTAAAAGGTGACCCAAACTGAAAAATGGATCAATAATAACGTGAGAAGCCGAAAGACAATGACTTGCGAACGAATCCCAAGAACAGACTGAGGGCGCGCAGATACGCGGCAGCCATAAAGTACGGCATAGCTATCGTTTCGGACGTGACCCATCCGTTTCCATCGTGTACCTCCTTACGGAAAACGGGCTGCTTGAGAGCGCTCTTCTTAATGCGCAGTTTGTGCGCGACGGTACACGGCTCGGTAGGGAAGAAGACCTCTTCGATCGTTTCGACATCCTCGAATATCTCGTCCTTGAAGGCGCCGACGAATGCGTACATAAGAGCGTCGACGTGGCGGTGGCTTGATGGTTCCATCAGGATGAAGAAATATTTCATCATACCTTCGTCATCGCGCTTGCCCTTGAGCAGGTCGATTTCCACAACAGCACCGACCACCGGGCGATAAGGATTCTTTGGATTTGGGATGATCCAAAACTCGTAGTTCTGCCATACCAACGCCTCGTTTGTCCCACGGTAACAGGCGGACTCGACGATGGCGCCTGGTCGTTCGGAAGATAGGGAAGAAATGAGAGAGGATTCGATGAGATCGATGCGAGCGCGGTTGGTGCGAATATATTTTTTGTCCTCGAGAACGCCGCGGACAAGAATTTCGACGTCGATGAGATTGGCCGTGGGTTTGGCGCGCTTTTTGGTCGACAGTTTCGAGGTCTTGTCAAATTCCGCTGAATAAAAGTAGTCGAGGACGGAGAGCTTGTACTCTCTGGGGATGAGAAAGTGGGCATGTTGCCGAAACAAGGCGAAGAAAGTGTATATATAGTTGAGGATTGTACTTTTGACGGCATACTTTTCGAAACGACCCTGGATGGTGGCACCGAGGAAACGCAAAAATTCCTGAGTCCGGGCTGAAAAGAGTCTGAGGCTTAATGGAGGTCGCGACCAGACACAGATAACGTACACTTTTCTGGAATAACGACGCCATCAACAATCTCCTCGGGTAGCGCGTGCTGTGGGCAAGTCTTGACAAAGAGCCGCCAGAGGGCCTTTACGCGATTGTGGCGCGCGATGGTGGGAGGACTCAGCTGTCGCACAAAGGATTTGTCGGTAAAGTCCTCGGTGAGCAGTT